TGCTGTAGATTGACTACCATGATGTCACAGGACCAACTGATCCAGTCAGTTGCCCCCCTGGGAAATAATCAACCATTGCTGAGCAGGGGTCAAAGCATAGGATCACTTCATTTACATGAACTGAAGACATTAAGGATTAGTAGCTATCAGGTAACAAGCTTTTATTGACCTATCATGTACAGTATGCATGTGTAAATGTTCTCTCTAACACCAGACCAGTGGTGCCAAGCTTGCAGCTTGTGGAGTTACCACTTCCAGGAGCCCGCTTGCAGTCTGACAGTGGCTTGTAGGCATCATGGGTTGGGTCTGCAAAATGCATATTCCAGGACCCACCCCCATATCCAGGGATTCTGCTTCATTTGATGTGGGAAAGAGTTAGGGTGTGCAACCTATTAGAAGCACCCCCAGGCTACAAGCAGCTGGGAGATCACACTTTTAGAAACTTCAGGGTAAAGAAAATAAAGGCTTGCGGGACAGACGCAAGGCTGCTTGCTAAATGCTGGAGGGACATCAGGTGCTGAGCTTTGGAGCAGCATAGGAGCAATGAACGCTGGGTTGGGGTGGTGGGGGTTGTCAGGGAAGGCCTCAGAGCAATGACATCTCAGCTCAAGGGGGGGACCGGCTATGTAGAGAGAAAGGCATGGTCTTGTGGGCTGTCAGAAAGGTGTTTTCTGGGGGGCAGGGAGGCATTTGGGAGAAAAGAGGTTAGAATAATGCCAGAAGGGCCAATAGGCCAGAGCGCAAAGAGCCCTGTTTGTCGTGTTAAGTTTATTTCTCTGAGCTGGGACATTCAGGATTGAAGGGATATAGATTAGTGAGAGGTAAGTTCAGATTTGACTTCAAAAGACGACTTTGCCTTCAGTGTGAAGAATAACACGACGGGATAGACAGACTGCATAGAGACTGTGAGGAGACTTCAGTCTTCATGCAGGTGAGCTCAATAATGGACTACAGAGGAACAGCCAGGAACAGGTGTGAGAGACACATACGGACCCGAGGTGGATACAGCGAGGCACCTGCCTCTCTCAGTACAAAGTTAGCAGGAGCATAGGAGGAGGCAGTAATGAGTTTTCCTTCAGGTATTCATGGGGACTTCAAAAAGTTCATGGAAAATGGAATTAAAAGATGTTTGTTTTGGCACAAAAAAATGTTTTGAAATCCATGCATGGTTTTTTCATATGTACTTCTCTTTTTAAAGATATATTTATTTATTTGAAAGGCAGAGTTACAGAGAAGCAGAGGAGAGAGAGAGAGAGAGAGAGAGAGAGTCTTCCATCTACTGGTTCACTTCTCAAATGGCCATTGGGCCGGGTCAATCTGAAAACAGGAGCCAGGGGCTTCTTTTGGGTCTCCCACGTCGGGTTCAGGGGTCCAAGCACTTGGGCCATCTTCTGCTTTCCCAGGTCATAGCAGAGAGCCAGATGGGAAGTGGAGCAGCCAGGATATGAACCAGCGCCCATATGGGATGCTGATACTGCAGGTATTGGCTTTACCAGAAAAGCCACAGCACTGGCCCCTTCACATGAACTTCTTAAAGCCCCCTTATATGCATGTATTTTAAAATTTTTTGCACCAAAGTAAATTTATAATTCCACTGTCCATGAATGCTTTGAAATCCCCTTCTATCTGGTAGTCGGTAAACAGTTGAAAGGATGGAGATTCAGTTCAAGAAAAGGATGAACTATATAAGGTTGCAAAACTCTTACCTTTTGGTGATAACTGGAGGCATGGCTGTAGATAAGTGTTCTCAGAAGAAAGAACAGTAGAGTGAAACCAGATGACACAGGGCTGGTGTCTTGGCGTAGTGGGTAAAGCTGCCACCTGTGGTGTTGGCATCCTATATGGGTGCTGGTTTGAGTGCTAGCTGCTCCACTTCCATTCCAGCTCACTGCTAATGACCTGGGAAAGCTGTGGAAGATGGTCCAAGTGCTTGGGCCCCTGGAGTCACATGGGAGGCCTAGAAGAAGCTCCTGGCTCCTGGCTTCGGATTGGTGCAGCTCCGGCTGTTGTGGCCATTTGTGGAGTGAACCAGCGGATGGAAGACCTTTTCTGTGTCTGTCTGCCTCTCCTTCTCTGTAACTCTTTCAAATAAACAAGAACGAAAGAACGGAAGGAAGGAAGGAAGAAAAGAAAGAGGAAGGGAGGGAGGGAGGGAGGGAAAGAAGGGCCGGCGCTGTGGCTCACTTGGTTAATCCTCCGCCTGCGGCTCCAGCATCCCATTTGGGCGCCAGGTTCTAGTCCCGGTTGCTCGTCTTCCAGTTCAGCTCTCTGCTGTGGCCTGGTAGGGCAGTGGAGGATGGCCCAAGTGCTTTGGCGCTTGCACCCGTGTGGGAGACCAGGAAGAAGTACCTGGCTCCTGGCTTCAGATTGGCATAGCTCTGGCCATAACGGCTGTTTCGGGGGTGAACCAACGGAAGGAAAACCTTTGTCTCTGTCTCTCTCTCTCTCACTGTCTGTCAATTAAAAAAAGGAAAGAAAGAAAGAAAACACAGGATTGGCTCCCAAGAAATACCAACACAGACAGGATGGGCAATGGAGAGGCCCTCTGGGGGACGTGTCAGAAGGTTGGCGTAGAGACATGTGACAGCTTGGTGATGGTAACCTGGAAGAGTTTTCCAAAAAGTTGATACCAGCTGCCATTACTCAGTTATTTTCTTTTCTACTTACCAAGTGGACTAGTATGTTTTGTCTCACTGATTAACTACCATGTGCAAGGGTATATGATAAAAACCAAAAAAGCCTCTAAGAAATCTTGGCTCAACTCTGGGATAGAAGACAGACAGGGAGGTTTTCATTGCATTGTTAAGCAGAGGGTCATTTTTCTGAAACCTATTATGTTTGTGTGTGGATGATGCGGAAGTGAAGGGCTTGGTCCCTTCAGTGGACAGGCTCATCTGGGTTCCAGGGTGTCAGACATCTCAGACACTCAACCATGCGGCTGCCAAGGGTGTGATGTGCCTGTGTCAAGGTGACATAGACTGGAGAATATAAACCAATATAGCAGAGACAACACTGATTGGCAATAAATCGGAATAAATGATTGCTATGAGAAACACTGGGCCAGAGAAAGCTTAAAAGAGAAGATGAGTTTGTATACAATAGAATCAAAGAATTAAAACAGAAGACTTTTTGATAAAGTGAAAAAAAAAAAAGCACTAAATCTGGGTCTGGTCCTCCTACCACTTCTGCTAGGGAGCCCTGGGCAAGCCCCTCATCTTCCAGGGCCTGGCTGTGTGGCCTAGAAAGCTACACGCAGCCAACTTGCAGCACTTGGCTGCTTTTACACACACACACACACACACACACACACACACTTGTTTTCAGGTGCTTCCCACAGGTAACTTCTCAGAGGGTCTGAGCTGGGGGTCTGGGAGAACAGGTGTCTGCAGTGGAGTCCGGTTTAGTCGGGGATTTTTGGTTGATTTGTTTGTTTGTTGGAGTTGACGGGATCAGGTGGTTCATTTCCAAACAGAGACAGGAAGAGCTGTGTCGTGTTTCAGGGCAAGATCCTCAGAGTAAGACGTGTGCTTAAATTCTGAATCTGCTTCTTATCCCCTGGGTGACCTCCGGCAATTGATTCCACCGCTGTAAGCCCTAGTCTTTGTTACCTAAAAATTTGGGATAAAGATGCCTACCTCCTAGGGATGTTGTGGGGGATTAAAGGATAAGGTGTAGAAACCCCGGAGCACTGCGCCCGCCCGCACACAGGAGCGGGCTGCACACGGAAACCCGTCGATCGACCAGGGCTATTGTTATTGATAACCTGGAAGCCAGGCAGGGGACGCACTAGCTGCAGCGCCCTGGGTCCCCAGGCTCCGCCGGGCACACCGCCAGCGTCCTAGAACTTAAAGGGACTTTCGGTGGGCGGCACCTAGAGCCGGTAGGAGGCTGGAGTCCTCGCGTGGGCGGAGGCCGTGAGAGCCGGGGCGGGGGTCGCCGTCCCCGGGCACAGAAGGTCCCTGGCGGCCCCCTCCCGCGGCTGGGCTGGTCCCCAAGAAGCGAGGCTGGCCTCCGCGGCCGGCGCCTGGGGGCCGGTTGTGAGGCGGGAGCAGGCAAGGAGAGGAGGGGCGACTGGGGGAATTTCCCCGCCTCTCGCCCTCGCTCCATAAATCACCTCAGCCGCGGCGGCGGCGGCGGCGGCGGCGGCGGGGAAGTGCGCGGAGCCGGAGCGCGGCGTGGTGGCACCAGACACCTCCCTTTCCCCCACCTCTTTCTTTCTTTCGGTTGTGTTTTTTGTTTGTTTGTTTTTGTTTTGTTTTTTGTTTTCCCCCAAACCTCCCCCTCTCACTCCCGGTTCGGGTGGCTGCCCTGACCGCGCAGCCGGGTCGCCACTCCTCCTCCCGTGCTGCCGCCAGCCCTCGTAGCCGCCGCCGCCGCCGCCGCCTCCCCGCGCCCGGGCTCTGGGGAAGCGAAAGCCGCGCGGCCGGCGGCGCCGACTGTCAGCTCCGCAGCGCGCGCACTCCGGCCCACGGGCAACCGCGGCTCCCGGAGACCCGGCGGCACCGCGGGGAGCGCTCAGGCGACCGCTTCCTCTCCCGCCCAACTCCGAGCCGGGCGATGGTGGCCGCCCGCGCTCCCGCGCTGTAGCCGGGCGCCCCCTAAGTTTGGGAGCCGCCGACGCCGCAGCGCGGAGACGAGTCTGCAGAAGAAGAAGAAAGTTTTGCGGGCTGCGCCGAGCGGGCCCTGAGCGCACCTCCCGCGGCTCTCTCCCCGCGTCCCCGCGCCCGGAGCCCCTCGGCGGGGCGGCTGGGGAAGCTGTATGGCTCGGGAGCCGGAGGACGAGGAGACGGCGGGGGCGGCCGTCCTGGCCCAACGCTGTCCGGGCTCGCCTGGCTGGGCCGGGGCAGGGGCCGGGGCTCGGCGGCCGCCCCTCTGGCTGCTCTGCCTGGTTGCGTGCTGGCTCTTGGGCGCTGTGGCCGACGCAGACTTCTCCATCCTGGACGAGGCGCAAGTGCTAGCGAGCCAGATGCGGAGGCTGGCGGCGGAGGAGCTGGGGGTCGTCACCATGCAGGTAAGCGGCCGCCTTCACGGCCCTGGCCTTGCCCGTCCGGCAGCCCGCCTTTCCCCTTTGCGGAGAGCCGCCTCCCACTGCCTGGTGCAGATCCTCTTGCGGTGCACCGACTGCTCTTGGCCGGCGCAGAACCGCTGCCCCGCCGGACCTCTGCACAGAACAGACCCCTGGCTGCATACCAGCGCATCTTCCTTGCCCTGTCCACCCTTCCCTTTCTCCCCTGCAGAGCCCCCTGCCCTCTGCGCGGGGACACCCTCCCCCCACCCCCTTCCTCTGCACAGCCTTCTACGGCTCAGCTCCGGCTCCTTTACCTCGGCCACGATTCTCTGGTTGCTTCTGCACCTCGGTCCGGAATTTGCACACCTTCCTCGGGCCGACTCGTGTCCACCGCGCCACCGCTGCAAACTCCCGTTCCCTCTTTGTGTCCCCATCCTGGGGCAGCCCGCCCCGCCTGCCTCGAACGAGTTCCCGAGGCCCCCCGCCCCACCCCCTGGACCACCTCCTCTTGTGCCTGGTATCGAGGCGCACTGCAGGGCGCGCTGAGGGAAGGCACCGGCGTGGGCGCGGCTGCTCCGGGGCGCTCTGGGTCCCCTCGGAGAGCGGCCTCGGGAGTCGGCCCCGCGCTCCTGCTCCCCGCCCGGTGCGTTGGGGGGAGGGGCCGGCCTGGTGGATTCCTGGTAGATTCCGACTCGGGTCCTGGTGGGCGACTCTTTTTGTTGCTTTCCGCTTTGGCTGCGGTCGGTTGCGCGCTGTCCGCCGCATAAATGTTTGTGGTGTGTGTATATGTATGCGCCTTTTCGGAGGAGGAAAATGAATGCGTTTCCCATTGCTCTCGAGTGTTTCCCGTGCTGGTCGTCCCCGGGAGAGGGAGGGGGACGCGGAGAAAACATCCCCCCTCGGCTTAGAGGGAGTCGCGGGGATGTGACCAACAACCACCCGTGGTTAAAAAAAAAAAAATCGCAGAACGGCCACCACCTGGAGATGCTTGCTCGCCGCTATTCTCACCTTCGCGGCCAAAAAGGCCCACTCGTTTAGGGGCGGTTGAGGTGACATTCCGAGTCTGTCACCCTCTTAAGTAAAATAGCCCCCCATCCTCTTCCACTGTGCACCCTGACAACAATAACCGTGAGGGACGCGGTCTTCGAAAGAGCCAAGTTTCCAGGAATCTGTTCTGGGAAGAGGATTCTGATTTCGGTGCTACCCCGACTGCCCCTTCCAGCTCCCACCTCCCACCGGGAGAGGTGTTTTGAATCACTTTGGGATTCAGGTTTCTGACCTTTTTTTTTTCTTTTTTTCTTTCTTTTTACCCTCACCCCCACCCCAGTCCTCCCGAGAGAATATGGTTTTTCTAAAGCAAGTTCCACGGACCTTTTCCACTGTAGAAAAAATTGTTTTATTTTTGAAATGAGGTTGAGTGAGGAGTGGTTTGCTTGAAAGATAATTTTACATTTATTTACAGACACCGGGCCCTGGTGGATTTTTTCATTTGCATAATAATAGATAAGCTTTCAAGATAACATTTTCCTTTCCATACAGATCCTTCAGGTACACATTCAGTTATGATTTTTTTCCATTTGCATTTTCTGATATTTGACTATTGCTTAGTTCCTCGGAGGGAAGTGACTTTTGGACAAGGAAGGAAAGCTAGAATTTTCTTTTCAGTGGTGAATGTTTAGATCCAGAGCACAGAATTGTATTTTTGCAGAGGGCACCTCTGTTAATGGGGGAACTTGAGGATACTACAGTTTAGGCCTGTGCTTGCAGAGTGAGCTGGTGATTGCCACCTTCATCCCATCACCAGGGCAGGGCCGGGCATGGTTTTCCCCCCTGCCCTTCTCCTTGTAGGCTTAAGGACTTGCTTTTTCTTAGATGCTGACAGCCGTTTTACTGTTTCTCACCCGGTCCTTGACAAAAGGTGAAATCGGATCCCCACACATTGTCATTCAGGTAGGGATCCAAAGCAAATGTAGTTTTAAAAGGCTTCCCTGTTGAAAAGGAGACACTTCAGAAGAAAGCTCTGATCGGTAGGGGGTTTGTGCCCAAATGGCCCTTTATCTCCTCCCAACTGGCCTCTTTCTAACACCTTTGCCACCTCATTGTGGAAACTGACCTCCTGCGGCCAGGGTTTTGTCTGGCAAAATGTGAAGTGGCTTCCACACATACTGTATTTAAGTTCCTCTTCTGGCACTGTGCATTGATCTATCACTTGCCTCCTTGTGGGAAAATTGGGGGAAAGTCCCTTTTTGGAGAAGAATATGTGTGGAAAAAATAAAATCCAATAACGGCTAGATGTCTGGCCCTTAGAACAAAGATGCGGGGGCCTCAGGTTCTCCCCTGCAGACCTCTGGGTTTGTTCAGTGGGTCTGAAATTCTGTGGATTTAGTTACATAAATGTAGATTGTGTAGTCTCCCCTTGTAGAATGTTGGATTTGACCGATGCAGAGCTAGGCTCCGAGTGGATGGTAAGGTGAGCAGGGTCAGATCACTGGGGTAGGTCCTGTCTTTTTGCAGCAAGAAATGCCTTCCCCACTTAAGGGATTGACCCCTTTCACTTGACCTTGGCATTTGGAACACAGTATGGGCCTTTCAGGACAGCACCTCATTTATACAAATTTTTCTGTAGGTCAGTTTATATAAAAAGCCAATTTTCATTCTTTTCAATGACTTGTGGTGCTGAAAATCTCATCTCCTAGGACAATTTTTCATTTTGAGAAATTGCGAAGTCGCCCTCAACCTTGGCCTGTTGTTCTGTAGCATTTCCAGTGGCCGCACACACTGTTCACAGGAGGTTGGGAGGGGGAATTTTACAAAAACGGAAACCGGGCCTTCTTTAGCTCTGACATTCCCATGACATGGTTTTTGTGCTTGCTGGTAGAGAAGACAGTGTGAGAAGTACTCCATCTCCAAGATTCTCTTGGCTAAGTTTTCTAATGGTGGCTGCCTACTTATTTTGTTGTTATTGTTCCTGTTTAATAATGGACAAAAATGTTTTTGAAAAAAATCTCTGAATGATTTATACCCACCGATTTTGCCAGTGCCCTGGGAAAGCTGCCACTGGACGCTGCCCCCCTGGCAGCAGACATCATAGATCACGGTAAAAGTCAGAAACCTAATCATCCTCTCCTCAGGGGTCTGGCTGAGTGAAGCCATCCTCGCTGTGCTGTGGGCTGAAGATCAGTGTGTGCCCGTGTCCAGGGAGACTGGTCTCTGCTTATTCATCCATGCAGTGGGATTTTGTCAAGCAGCCTCAGGGAGAGGGAAGAACCCCACACCTGGTATTTGGAGGCCTGGGTTCTAGCTCTGCCACCTACAGGTTGGATGATTTTTATCTGTCAAGTTAACGCGAGATGACTCTTGCTAGAGGCATATTCTTGGGACATAGTGGAGATAGTGCATGTGAAGGCACCTGTAAATATGATGGCACCTGTTCGTGTGAAGCTGAACTGGAGAAACATTGATGGATACAGTGGTTCTTAAATGGAGAATTGGCTTGTTGAAAGCTTACTGAGCATGGAGTGCTCTGCTAGGTGTTGAGAGGTTTTCTAGCACAGGCCTCAATGTTCGGAGGAGGAGGTAAGATTGCACAGGTAGAACAGTTAAGTAACAATGCTTGCTTGTTAGAAGGCATATCTGCTCTGGGAGCCATTTCACCAGGCACTTATAAGGCCCATTTAACATTATATGACAATACAGGCTTCTTAACAGCAAGGGCCTGGCACGTGGCCAGTGTGCTTGCTTTAGTGTTAGCTCTAACACAGCTCTGCTAGGCTGGGTACACTCACTGTGAACTTGGCAGACACACCAGCAGGTTGGTCAGACAGCTGCTATATGGGGCCTGGAGGGGAGGATTGTGGGTAAGGTAAAGGAGGGGGCTGGGTTTCTTCCGTTTGGGGCAGAAGAAATACCAGAAGCACGAACTGGAGCCTGAACTCAAGTTGAAGAAAGCAGAGCAACCAGGACAGATAAGACTTCAGGAACTGAAGGAGGTTCAGAGGGCAGAGGTGTTGATTGAGAATATAGCACAATGTTGTAAATGGTGAACGGGCAGGGTTTCTTTGCATGCAGTAAGACAGCAATGCGTTGTTCATTTTGGAAAATATCCAACAGACTTTTGGAGAGCTTTGACTCTGTAAGGGGTCATGGATTAGACCCAACTGACAATAAAAGGTAACTAAGGCATGGTCTATGTCCTGAATTTCAGTTAATGTTGAAAATAGACACAAAAAGAGGTATTCTGTTATAGGTGTTGGAGGCATAGGAGTGGTGGCCTGCAGTGGGAGAAAGAGGCACAGGGCATTGTGGGAGTGCCTAAGGCTCTCTAGTGAAGCTGGTCACTTTGCCCTTGGCCTTTTTGGTGAAATGTCCATACCAAGTTGCAGCCTTAAATGTGAAGGGTGACCAAATCGGTAGTTCATCAGACCTTTCTAATTCTCTTTGGTGGTGCTAGAAAAGTAGCTGGTGTTTCTTGAACACCTGAACTGGAGGGTAGCTCTGGCTCCTGTGCCGCTTCGTGTGGTTTCCATGGCTTATTTCTTTGGTCATTACTCCAAGCTTCTATGGTTATTGGACATAGATGCCTTGCCCTTCTGTAACCATAAGCTGATTTGTAGTCATGTTTAGGTAAGTTTTGTATTTTCCCCTAAATCATGTGTATCATACAAGGAAAGATTTGAATGTGTACTTGTATGATATGGAGTGGTTGGGGGACAGGGTATGTTTGCAAATAATATGGTTTGATTCTTTGCCCTTGTGTACGATAATTCTGTGCACCTTGGTGGAAAAACTGCTTCATCGTGTCCTCAGGAAATTGAATGCTTGGCGTAGAAGAAAGCTGACCGTGGATAGTTGACTGTGAGTTGAACTTGGTAAGAATGAGCCCAAGGAAAAGCATGAACCATCCCTGTCATGCTTAGTACTTCTTTGTCCCTAATGCCTGTCTGAGCTGGCCTGGTCCTTGTGCTTGCTCTGTTTCTCTCACCAGTGGTATCTGAGTTTTGGAAGGGCTCAGGGGAGGGGAAGGAGATGGTTTCAAGCTTCCTAACATGTTGGTGCTATTTCTGGTTGCTGCTTGAAGAGTTCCTTCCTTGAGCTTAAGTGGCTGAGCAGGCAGGAACCTTGCAAAACTCTGGAATTTTGGTATTAGGTAGAAGGAGATTTGTTTTGGATCTGCTTATGCCCAGTGTGAAAATATATTGGAAATCAAAATATGAAGGGACAACAATTTTGACTCAGCCAGTTATTAATGGTGTAATTTCTGGCATATTATTAAATTGCTCTAAACTTCAGTGTCTTCACTCTTGGCATAGTTAACAGCAGGAAGCTTACTTTACAAGATAACAAAGTATCTAGAATAGAGCCTAACCTAACAGCAGATAGTAAACAGAAATATACAAAGGGGAACAGTCTGTATAGTGCCTGGGCACAGAACCTGGGAGGCAGCAGCCATCAGCTCCTGAGCCCAAAGGAAAAGGAAAGGGAAATTAATCTTTAGAAGCTGCAGATTTCAATGCAGTCAGTCCTCTGCCCCACAGCTTCTAGGGTGTGGTGTGTAGACCTCAGGGATGTGGTACAAAACCATCCTTTGGGGTTTCTGAAGAAAATGTTAGATGTGTTTACTGTAAAAGTGTTTATTTCAAAGGTTTGTAAAAATATTCAGCAGTTAAAAATAACATGAAAATGCCCACATACCTTTCACCCAACTTGAACAGTTATCAACTTGTGATCAGCCTGGTTTCATTTATACCTCTACCTGCACCTGCTCTTCC